TTTGTAATTCTTTCAAAACTAAGAAGGATCTTGGGGGGGGGGGGGTAACCTCTTGATATTTTCATACATCACATAAATTATCTAAAAATTGCGGCTTTCAGATTAACACAAATTGTGCGTAAAATGCATGGAATAGGGTTTCAAAGACCGTAAACATAGAAATGTTTTCCGGGGGACCATGCAGCTGGCCGCCCAGACAATTAGACCATACGGCCTTGATTACACTATTAAGATAGATAAACATATAATTGCATTTCTGAAGTTACACCTACAGTACAGCGCAGGTAACATTCTTTTTATTTTGGTTAAATTTTAACCCTCTGAATTTCTCTTTTTTCTAAATTTTACAACTATCTTTTTTTCTTTCTTGGGGAAATATTGTCCGGGAATTTAAAAGATTTTTTGTCCCACGTGGTCCACTCTTGGGCCTTATCATCTTAAATATAAATTATTCCATATTGCATTATACCTGGCTAACAACTGCAAAAGCCATGTAGAGCTACATATCTGAGGATTCTGAGCATGGACGACCTAGTCTTACTAATTTCAAAACTATCATTCATTAATCATGAAAACTTTGACTGTGAAAAAGAAATTTCTACTAAGTTAATCCAAGAGTCTACCTTAACTTTTGGCTTCTAGAAAACATGTGCTGGAAGGTTTTCACTGTAAGCAAAAACTTGCAAAATTTAAAATCCCATAATTGCTCATTTTATGTAGCCGAATAAACATTCCATCCTCGCAAAAGTTTGCTAGTGAAATGGTTTTTTACTAGCAAGGGCTAAAATTTCGCTCTCATTTTGCAATTTTGTGAGCGTTAACTTCCAAACTAGAGTTAACCATCAGAGGAGGGGAAGATCTGCACCCGAGCTGCACATCAGGACATCAGGAGCTCCTTTCAAGATGTATTCTTGTCCATGCTAGTTTTGGTCAGCGTGGCAGACAAGCCTAGAAAATATATTTTCCTTGGCAGCAAATTCCAATATAAACCTCCCGCATATGCAGATTGCAGAGAATGTATGGTGCCAAACACGCTTGTAAACATAAAGTAAATAACATGGCCAGGCCTAGAAAATCTATTGCTATTCCTTGCAGCAAATTCCCAAAATAAAAATTTCCTGTGTAAGCCAAATATAAAACTTTCTGCATATGTAGATTTCAGAGAATGTATGGTGCCGTACATTGTGATAATCTTCAATCTTGGCACAAGACAATCTCGACTTGCAAAACACGTTTGTAAACATAAAGTAAATTACATGGCCAAGCCTAGAAAATCTGTTAGGCCTGTTTCATACGTCGAATTTAATTGAGACGAATTTAATTCGTTATTAAATTCGTCCATTGGTCGACATTAAAATGGTTTCGTTTCAAACGACGAATTTAATTCAGACGATTTTTATTAATTAAAAAAAACAATATGGCGCGTAATGGCGCGCTATTCTGACAAATCAATACAAGGTTTTATGACAGTTATTCTCAATAAAATAAGAAAAGAGAGACAAAGAAGACAAAGAATTCGTCGAGCTGTTCTGATTTTATTTATTGTCAGGTTAAAGTTTCTGATTCTTACACGTTCTATATTGTCTTTATTATTGGCAAATCTCTGCCGAAGTTTCCGGGTGACCCGTGTAACATTTAACAATACATTAAACAGTATTCGCGAAGACATTGTAAAGGATATTGTTGCAGAGGTCCCAATATCACCTGAATGCAGACTAGCAATTTGTTTGTATAGATTAGGAAGGGGAGATTATCTGTACACGATTGCAGAATTATTTGGGATAGGAGTTTCAACTGTACAATGTATTGTTTCTGAAGTCTGTCGTGCAATTGTTAAAAACCTATGGAAATCAGCAGTCATGGACACTTTTTCCAACACAGAACAGATAAATGCAAAAATCATTGATATGGAACAGTTGTGGCAATTCCCATGCGCTTGGGGGCTGTTGATGGCTGCCATTTACCGATAGTCTGCCCAAGCGGTGGTCAGGAAGCAAGAAAAGAATACCATAATTTTAAGAATTTTTACTCCATTGTGATGATGGCAATTGTAGATGCAAAGGATCGGTTTGTATGGGCCAGCATTGGCTTCCCAGGGAATTGCCATGATTCAGTAATTTTGCAGTCCACACAGTTGTGGACTGATATTACTGAAAACAATATCATACCTTCCATAGGGAAAAACATTGAAAAACTTATTGTGAATCCGTTGATTCTTGGTGATTCTGCTTTTCCGTTTCGATTTGGCTGATGAAACCATATGGTCATGCTACACTTAGCCCTAAAGAGAGCAATTTTAATTATCGTCTCAGTAGGGCACGAATGGTCACAGAAAGAGCATTTGGCCAGCTGAAAAGCAGGTGGAGAATTTTACACCGCAGATCAGAATGTGAGCCAGAAAGTGTGAAGGAAACAGCACTTACATGTGTTGTTCTTCACAATCTTTGCATTGCTAATGGTGATAATCTTCCTCAGCATGTTGATCTTCTTTGTAATTATCCAAAAAATCAAAGAGATCGAGAGAAAGTACGAAAGTTATTGCAAATGAGAAGCTGTGCCAGAACAAAAGATTCCTCTAAAGCAGCAGAGGCTATTAGAGCTGCACTTGCAGAAAAACGTTGGAAAGAGAAGGAAGGGGGAGGAGTAGTGTGAAGCAAATTGAGTACATTTAGGGATTGGTCAATATTTATGGAATGGGGAGAGGGAGAATATTTTCATTCCTTTTAAAATTGAAATCCCTCTCTGAAAGAGCAGAAATTCAATGGTGCCCCCCCCCTCATATTAAAACATTTTCTCATTGACCCCTCCCTAGCTATCCCATCTTTTATAAACCAATACTCTCAAAGACAAGGTATTTTAACCATACAACACCTGTGATATCACTTTAGTTCTTTACTTTGGCTAATGCCAGATATATTTAATATTAAGCCAGGTTCCCATTTGGTATAGGCAGTTGTAATCATGTAAAAATAGCTGCAGATGTAACAATACATTGTTGATTTTATCTCTACATTGCATACAGCTTACAAGATATATCAACACTATTTCACATAGGTAACCATTATTTAGTCGCAACATTTACAACCAAATGGAAACTAGGCTTAAGTAAATTCCTTCAAATTTAATTGCAACCCCACATTTTTGATACCCCCTTTTTTAAAAAAAATATCTCTCCCCCTCTTCTAGTTATATAGCCCCTAATTCCCATAATTAATGAACAGTCCTTTAGGACAATTGAGCATTAATTAATCTACTTTACATTTTGTTACATTTTGTTACATTATTACACATAATTAGTGCCATGTATTGCAGTCAATATGTTAAACCCTTATTTGGCGGCAGTTGCAATCGTTACTGAAAATAGTCTTATTGTTGAGTATTTCAATAAAGAATTTTGTTGTATGATGGTTACCCTGATTATTATTACTCGTACTGCATATTAGGAAGTACACATTGTAACAGCACAGTCATGGTAAGTATATTAAACCATTAGTGCATAATACAACCGCATTTACATATGCTGTATAAATGTATTCTAAATTCACCTTGAAATGAAGTTGCCCTTGATTGTGGTTTTTCATGTGTGCACATTGTAGTTTTGTGTCAACTTAAAGTTGCATTGCACCCTAATGCATCCCACTTTATTATTTTACTCTGTCTAATGACAGATGATCTTCCTACTCAAGTGGAGAGTGCTGGCACTCAATGGGTTAATGAGCTATAAATAACCCACTGAGTGGCAGCATTCTACCATTGATGAGTAAAGTCATCTGGC